AACAGAAGAGGGAGAGATGCTCCATGCCCCCTTGCCAGTAGACAGCAAGAGAGCACTGGGGCAGAGTGACCTGATCTGGACCCCATCGGGGTCCTGTCCATAGTATTCCTGTGGCAGTCCAATGCTGCTTTCATTGCTACCTCTCCACCGCGCCCAGCCCAAAAGTACTTTTTCAGACAGCATCAGAGTCTGATATTATTACAAAAATTTAAGAATATTTAATACCACATCTAGAACATAATAGGCACTAGATAAATGACATCTATTAACAGCATCTAAACATGAGGTAGTATTAGTTAGGTTTCAGAGAATTACTTGGAGTGAGCAAAGGAAGCCATTTTTTCCAAGAGGAGGGAAGAGAATGAGGATGATTAAGCCAAGAAAAAAGAAAAATAATAGATCAGTGGACCCCATTTTACACATTTCCCTCGTGGGTTGACCACCTGTTTTTCTACCATCTTAGCACTTGGGGAAAACTCTCTTGGAGATGGGCTTACTAGCAGCAGGAAGAAGCAAGACTGATTCATTTGACCATGAAGGATGTGAGATGCTGGAATCCGGAAGTGAAGCAGGGTGTGGTAACCACACTCCCAGGACCTCTCAGCACCTGGTCAGGCCAAGCAGTTGCTGGGCTGGGCTGGGCTATTGCTGCCCTGAGGCAGAAAAGTGAGCCGAGAACTTGAAGGAATTAGATAACCTGCCCTTCCCCTCACCCATTAGTTCCCAATCAGGTCTTCAGAATCCCCTTGACTGATGCTCAGAACTTCAGCTTCTGGCAGTCCCATGATCCAGGAGTGCGTCCAGAGGAAACCATGCCATGGATCCGGAGCCCACGCCACTGTCTCATAAAAAGCGAGATGACCAGGTTAGGCTGGGAGGGGCATAAGGGTGGGGAGGTCAAGGAAAGTACTCCTTCCCTTTACTTCAGTCTTAGAGACTATTTCATCTCTGGTCAGTTAGGGAATTAGGAGAGATTTGAGTCTTACCAGAGAAAACTGGCCCCAGAATTTGGGCCATGATGGCATTAAAAGGAGTTAAAGACTTGTCTGTGTCTTTGTGTTCCTCTTTGTGGGTGTGACTTCTGAGCTGGTGCAAAACAAGTGTCCATAGTATTCCTGTGGCAGTCCAATGCTGCTTTCATTGCTACCTCTCCACCTCTCAAATCACCATCCACTGGCAGTAGCCCCACTTTTTCATCACTACCCCTACTCATTCTGCCCTGAGGCGGTTTGGGGAGCTATTTATTTATTTATTTATTTATTTTTTTTTTTTATTTATTTTTTTTTTTTTGAGACGGAGTCTAGCTCTCACCCAGGCTGGAGTGCAATCTCGGCTCACTGCAAGCTCCGCCTCCCGGGTTCAGGCCATTCTCCTGCCTCAGCCTCCCAAGTAGCTGGGACTACAGGTGCCCGCCACCTCGCCCGGCTAGTTTTTTTGTATTTTTTAGTAGAGACGGGGTTTCACTGTGTTAGCCAGGATGGTCTCGATCTCCTGACCTCGTGATCCACCCATCTCGGCCTCCCAAAGTGCTGGGATTACAGGCTTGAGCCACCGCGCCCGGCCTATTTATTTATTTATTTACTGATAGAGACGGAGTCTAGCTCTCACCCAGGCTGGAGTGCAGTGGCGCGATCTCAGCTCACTGCATCCTCTGCCGCCCAGGTTCAAGCAATTCTCCTGAATCAGCTCCTGAGTAGCTGGGATTATAGGCACCCACCACCGCAACCGGCTAATTTTTGTATTTTTAGTAGAGACGAGGTTTCACCATCTCGGCCAGGCTGGTCTTGAACTCCTAACCTTGTGATCCACCTGCCAGGGCCTCCCAAAGTGGTGTGAGCCACTGCGCCCAGCCTCTTAGGAGCTATTTTTAAGGATCTCCTGCTTTCCAGCCTGGCCTGGCTGAATCTCTCTCTGAATCTCTTCTTTCCAGGTTTATGGATCACTCTATTCTCAATGACAGAACCTTCAGTCTGTATTAAGAAGATATGGCTGCAGAAAGACAAGAGGAATTGTGGCAAGAGTGCAAAGGGGGGGAAAGAAGGAGGTTTCCCAGTTCCGATGGCTAACTAATGGGAGGAGGATATGGAGAAAGCAGAGTAAACAGATTGGACTAAAAGTTGCTTGTGTGCACGGCGAGAGCTGTGGGGTCAGGGTGGGAGTGATTCCAGTGTCCAGGTTGTTGTGAGAGCTGGTGTGTGGGAGATTCCTGAATGAGCCAGACCTTAGAGTGAGAAGTCTGTGAGGGGCCAAGGCACTGGAAAGCACCACAGGCCTCATGCGTGGCAGGGGTCACACACAAATCTGGGAAGGCATATACTGGAGCTCATGATGCTGAAAGGCCTTGAGTAGTCACACACTCTGAAGATACTACAGCTTCTCCTTAGCAGGGAGAAAGCCACAGGAAGTCCTCTGACCACAGATGAGAGGCCCACGGAGCCCTGGGGCAGGAGGTCGCCCCCTTCACCAGGCTCTGTCACTTCTGACCCACCCAGGGCCCAGAACAGCTACAGAGAACAGGGAATTTTACAAAGAGTTTGATTTTATTGATATTTAAATATATTAAATATTTCACTGAAATACATGGTACACCATCCTCCCTCACCCCCACAGTGGTTACATTACAAAACCAAAGCCCATGGCCTCCCATCTCCTGACTCCTCCACCAACTGGGTGAGGAAAGGGGCAATGGTTGCCCAGGGGAAGGGCATGGCTGGCACTGTGGTACGGGGAGCCAGGGTGTGGACAGGCCCTCCCACCTGGCAAAAAGCAGAGACAAGCCACCCAAGGCTGAGGTCTTCCCACTCTGATCTACTTATACCCTCACCCCTACCCCATGGCACCAAGTAGTCTCTTCCTATCCCTTCCTATCCAGGGCTATGGCTGGGGGCAGGGGAGTAGACTTTCTGTCTGGAAAAACAAGTCTTTTCCCCTCCTTCTGCCATGACTAATGAAGTACCTGATGGCCCATTTGGTTGATGCATGAAGATGCCCAAGGGAGGCAGTACCCAGAAACCAGGCCTCCACAGGGAGCTGGTGTCAGAGGGGCATGAGGAGGGGCAAGTGCACTGCCTGCCCCTTCCACTCCCAAACCCAGTAACTCTGGAAACCCTTCTCCTCTGCCTCTCTAGTCATTTCCAAGACAAAGTGATCTTCAAGCAAAATTCAGGCTAGTGCCTTTGGCTTAAATAGGTACAGACAGAGAAACTGAGGGACCAACAAATTCAGGCCACAGTCAAAGAGGTTGCAGGGAAAGGGGTAAAAGGAAGGCAAAGATAGGAAGGGAATCTAGAGTTCAACCTCCTAACCCTTCTGCCAGCCCCCAAGGTTTCACAAGGGGCTGGGGAGCCAGAAACATGCTAGACTCAGGCTGAAGACTGGAGAAAGCCAAGTTTAAGGTTCCTCTTCCCCACCCAATAGTACCAGTATCCGGGTCCTCAGAGGGATTCCATGCTACCCCAGCCCCAAAGCATACCATGTCCCAGGACACTATCTGGGGAAGCCAGGAAATTCCTGAGCCTCTGTCCATCAAACCCCAGACAGTTCAAGTGCTAGCATGGAGCACTGGGGCTCAAGCAAGCGCTTGGGTCCCTGCCACAGACAGGGAGAGTCATGCTGCACACATGGCCCCCAAACGGCACTTAGGGATTTGGCACAAAAAGGACTCCTCTCCCTCCTTTTGCTACCACACCCCATCCCACTCCTGTGTAATCTGGGCATCTCTCTACATCCCCTGAAATAGGAAACCCTGCTTTATTCCCAGAAGACAGAGGCCCACAGGAGAGACGCAACCTGGGGTGGAGAGCTGAGGAGCAGGAGCACAAGGACTCACACAGACCTGGAAAACAGATATGCACACAAAGACCAACATGCACACACAGTTACACAAACACACAGGCCCTCCCCAACGCCAGAGACTTGGGAGGGCAGGTTTGGGATCAGGGTCATCTTTCTGCATGCCCTGACCCTTTTCTATTTGGCAACAGAAGAGGGAGAGATGCTCCATGCCCCCTTGCCAGTAGACAGCAAGAGAGCACTGGGGCAGAGTGACCTGATCTGGACCCCATCGGGGTCCTCAGATCAGAGTCTGGCACCGCCCCAGCCCTGGCCTGCCTGCTCTTTGGCACCTGCAGGTGAACTGCCAGCTCCTGACCTGATATCCCCACACACAGGCTTGCTCTCTGAGCATTTTCACAGTACCAGTGAGGCCAGACGCCCCGTTCCCTGGAGCGTGCAGGAACTGGGGCTAAATCTAAGCTGTCAGAGGTCCCTTTGTTCCCCTTTGGGGACAGATTGTGGGACTAGAATTTGGCACATGGAAACATTCTCCTGAAATATGGCCAAAGCTGGCTCCCCAGAGTATCTCCCTCCTCTGCTCTGTGCCTAGGAGGGACACCTGGCTGCGGTGGGGAAGTGCCCAGGACCAGTGCTGGGGACGCAGGTATTGCAAAGGCAAGCATGGAATAGGCACTCCTCATGCCTGTCTTTGTACAAAATATTGTACAAAATATTCCCAGGAAAAAAGAGGGAAAAGAAGGGCCCAGCCCTGAATCTGCTGCCCAGACAGACAGGGAAGGGTAGGCATGGCAAGCTGCCATTTTAATCCCTCAGGCAAGAGGCCTCCCTCTGCTTCTGCTACTGACCCCTCCCCTGCTCCCAAAAGCTGGAAGATTGGAGAGCGAATAGCCCTACCCCAAGTAAGAAAGAAAGTCACTTGCATAATCCTCTTGGTAGGTAGCCCCTTGTTTTCCAGCTTGAGGGTAGACAATCATGATCCAAGCACAGCCTGCTGGGATGTTCCCTTTTGTGGTTAGTAGGGTCTGGAGGCTCAGTGCCCCCTGCCACAGCTCCACCCAGCGAGCACAGAGTCCACTCAATGCCCACCTTGATCCCTTCAGCTGAATTTGTGGCTGGGTCCTGCTAACTGCTGGGGCCCCCATTGAGGAAGTAGGTGGTCATCTCCCCCTTGCCCTTCACCTTGACCACCCCTCGACACTCCAGCTGGTAGCCCTTGGCAGCTAGAACCTGGTACAGGTCCGTGGTCACCTGGGGGAGTGGGAGGGGAGCCCGCTTAGCCTGGAATCCTTCCTGCTGCATTTGCAGGGGCCCAGGGGTTCTCTAGTCAGGCTAGCTCCCTTCCCCCAACCCCCACCCCACCATACACAGAACACTAGCCACCCTACCCCTGTCCTAGCAGACTGCAGAGACACCGTAGAAGCCCTCTGGGCCCACCTTCCTCCCAGCCCCTGCTCATATTCCCCTCACCTGGATTCGGTCGGGGACCCCCGTGCTGTCCATACGACTAGAGACATTCACTGTGTTCCCCCAGATGTCATACTGCGGCTTCCGAGCCCCGATGACACCTGCCACGACTGGGCCCATGTTCAGCCCTGAGGTGGGGAGAACAGCAAGAGACTAGTGCATGCTCCAGGCTAAACCCAGGGAGTCATCCCACCTCCTGGAACAGGTAAAAGGACCCAGAGAAAAAAATGGAAAAAGGACAAGTCTCCTGGTTGTAAAGAACGATCTAGTTCAAGACCAGCCTGGCCAACATGGTGAAACCCCATTTCTACAAAAAAACACAAAAATTAGCTGGGCATGGTGGTACACGCCTGTAGTCCCAGCTACTGAGGAGGCTGAGGTGGGAGAACAGATTGATTGATTGAGCCTGGGAGTTGATGCTGCAGGGAGCTGTGATTGTGCCACAGCACTCTAGCCTGGTGACAGAGCAAATCCCCATCTCAAAAAAAAACCCAAAACAACAAACAGAAACACCCGAAGACCTGAGCACCTCAGTTTAGGAGCTCCCCTGAGTCAAGGCAGCCATGCTATAACAGTAACCTCCTGAATGCCTGTTCCATGTCAACCACTCTAGTAAGCATTTTACATGGCTTTATCCTTTCTTTTTTTCTTTTTGAGATGGAGTCTTGCTCTGTTGCCCAGGATGGAGTACAGTGGCACGATCTTGGCTCACCGCAACCTCTGCCTCCCAGAATCAAGAGATTCTCCTGCCTCAGCCTCCTGAGTAGCTGGGATTACAGACACGTACCACCACACCCAGCTAATTTGTTTGTTTGTTTTTTGAGATGGAGTCTCGCTCTGTCGCCCAGGCTAGAGTACAATGCTGTGATCTCGGCTCACCAGCCAAGCTCTGCCTCCCGAGTGTCCACCGCCCCAAACAACAACACAACACCATTCTTCTTCTCCGCTCCAGTGAGCGACTGGGGGGGGGACAAAAGAGCAAAGCGCAGCACAACATTACTTAGAATAATATTTTTTCTATGTATCTTATTAAGATTAGAACGGGAGGATTTCACACATGATTAGCCAGGATAGTACTTGAATTTGACCTTATGAATACACACTCAATCACGGATCTTCAACAGCGAGTGCTGCGGTATTACAATTATGGCCCCGCAGACCCAAGCCAATATTTTTTTTTTTTTTCATAAATAGAGACGGGGTTTTATCACACTACATGTTAGCAACTCCTAATAGAACTCCTGACCGTCATGATCTGACCATCTACAGACTACCACCAAAAGATGCTAGGATTACAAGAGCCATGGAAACCACCGCACCAAACCTAGCCTGGCTCATATTCCTTATTATATTAATTATTTACAGAACACACACCCCAAAAAAACTGGAGTGCAGTGGCGGATCAAAATTCAGCTCACTGCAGCTCCCAGCCTCCCGCGGTTTACGCGACCATTACTCCTGCCTCAGCCTCCCGTGTAGCTGGGACTACAGCGGCACCCGCTGCCATTCGCCGCGGCTAGTGTTTTCTGTATTTTTTATAGTAGCAGACCGCGGGTTTCACCGTGATATAGCATGTGCCAGGAAGGTCCTCCGATCCACTCTGACCTACGCTGATTCCAATCCGCCGCGCCGATCTCGGCCACGCCAACAGTGCTGGGATTACAGGCTTGAGCCACCGCGCCAGCCATCCTTTTATACTAAATATGTGTATGTAGTTGTTACATCCAATTTATAGATAGAGTGAACTGAAGCGTTAGTAGCGTATACAGACTTCGCGGCCGGTGCACGATGCTCAACCTCGTAATCCACGCAACTTTGGGGACGACGGCCGAGACGGCCGGATCACGAGGTCACGGCAAAGAAACCGCAGATCTGAGAGCCAGTCTTTGGCTAACACAGCGCGCTGAAACCCGCCGTCTCTACTAAAACATACAAAAAACTTACAGCGTGCGACAGGTGGCGGCGCCTGTAGTACCCAGCTACCTCAGCAGACGCGCTGCGAGGCAGGGAGAACGCGTAAACCACGGGAGGCGGTTGCAGGTCGCCAGTGAGCGCTGAGCAATCCGGCACTGCACTCCAGCCTGGGCCACAGGCAGCAAATAACTCCATCTCAAAAAAAAAAAAAAGAAGCGAGAAGTTAGAAGACTTCTCAAATAAGCCAGTAAATGGAGCAGCCAGAATTCAAACCAGATAGTCTGACTCCCATCCACCAGTTCATTTGAGAGGAAGTACCTCTTATCGGACTGGTCACATATAAGGGCAGAAGTATTCAAGTTTAGATAAATGTGATTTTTAATCCCAGCTCTGCCACTTACTAGTTATTTGACCTTGGGCAAGTTATTTAATCTGAGAGTCAGTCTCTATCCAATGAAAGGGGATAATAATATCCGTATTAAAGTACGCTCAAAAATTTCTAGGACAGTGCCTAATGATCTCTGTTCTTAATATCAGACTTGATATAGGAGGTCAGAGGGAAGAAAACCCCACAGGAGTCCTGATGGGAAATCTGTGATCCCATCTCCAGCCTATAATCCCAGCTTCAACCAGAAACAGTCCTGGGAAAACCTGCCAAGCAACCAAGCCCTCTTACCAATCTTCATCTGGAAATTGTTGAAGGAGTGCTCATTGATGTGCTTCATCTGCTCCATGAGCCGCATGGCATAGTCAGCCAGGGCAGTGATGTGGGAGCGGCCCACCTGATCGTAGGTGCTGGCGTTCAGCCCTGAGGCAGCCATGTAGGTGCTACCAATTGTCTTGATCTTTTCCAGCTGCCGGAACCGCTCCTCGCTGATGATCTGAACAACACAAGGGGACCTGGCTGTCAAGGCAAAGACCCCAAACCCAGCCCTGCCCCAACACTCATTTCTTGCCACGCCTTGCCTCCCTTGCCCACTTTCCTGTCTCAAGGGCCCCCTTCCAGCTGCTGCTACCAGTGTAAGACTGACAAGCTGGGAAAACAAGCCCCCTAGGACTCCAGGCAGGACTTGGGCATACAGCTTAAGAAGGTCTCTCCCATAGCTCACTCACAGAACACAGACACACAGGTGGGATATTAAGCAATTTCTCCAATCCTCACCTTCTGGGATACTGAGTCCCAGGGTGAGCAAGTGACCTCCCTCCAGAACAGTGAACAGCCCATTCCTGACCTGGATGTTCAAGACACTACCTCACATTTTGCTTCAATTTTCTCTATTCAGAGGACCATCTTGCTTAGTTGGTCTCATGAGGTTCTGTCCACAGACCATTGCCTTCTTCTTCAGTGACATCCACCTGGTACCTATCTTATCTCCCTACAGATCAAGTCCTCCCCTGCTCCCCAACAATGATGACCCTGCCCCACTAGGGCTGACCCCCTTGATGCTTTTGACACCTTCATTTTTTTTTTTTTTTGAGACCGAGTCTCACTCTGTCGCCCAGGCTGGAGTGCAGTGGCGCGATCTCGGCTCACTGCAAGCTCCGCCTCCCGGGTTCATACCATTCTCCCACCTCAGCCTCCCGAGTAGCTGGGACTACAGGCGCCCGCACCACGCCCGGCTAATTTTTTGTATTTTTAGTAGAGCTGGGGTTTCACCGTGTTAGCCAAGATGGTCTCGATCTCCTGACCTCATAATCCGCCCACCTCGGCCTCCTAAAGTGCTGGGATTACAGGCGTGAGCCACCGTGCCTGGCCCCTTCATGGGTTCTTACCTCTACCTCCACTATGCCTGCCCTTACCCCTACCCCTGATGCCTCTGAGTCCCATCAAATCTCTCTTTCTCTTCCCAGTGCCACTCACCCCTTCCAATCCCTGGTCTCCAAGTCCCCCCGATTCTCTGCCAGCACCAGCCAACTGGACAAGTACCTCATCAAAGTCAGCGATGATCTCGTTGAGCAGCCGCAGGCACTCGACACCCTCATTGTTTGCCTCCAGCTCCACATAGAACTCAGAGAAGTTGGCAATGGAGGCAAACATAACAGCCACACACTCACACGACTGATAGTAGAGTTCATCATTGCGGCGCTCCCGGGCCAGGAAGTGGGCGGCCACGTCCTTGGGCAGAATGTTATGCAGCAGCCTCCGGTTGTATGCCTGTAGCTCCTCCATCTCCTCCTTCTCCCCTGTTGCCTGTGGACACCACACCCATCACCCATTGCCTGACATTCACAAGGGGTGGGTGTGGTGGCCAAGGCTTGGAAGTGGGAGTCAGAGGGAATCACATAGAGGAAGAAAGGCATGGACAGATGAGGCCTAAAGAACAGGCAAAGGGGTAAGGGGGGCAGATACAGGATGGGGCAAGGAGTAAGGGATGGGCACAGAGAAGGCATGGAACCAGGGTGGGTCTAGAGGCGGCCTGAGACTTAGCCAGCTAGTAGGAGATACGTTTCTGGCCTGGCCCAGGCTCCACCCCTAGGTTCCTCCTCTTCCCCCAAAGGCCCACCCGGTCACCTGTAGTTTCCAGAGGAAGTCTAGGCGGGCAGTCGACTCCACCTGCTGAGCATGCAGATACAGCGCCAGCGCAAACACCAGCAGAATCACAGGGGTCATATATTTGAGGGCCACCCTCCCTGCAGCTGGACTAAGGATAAGCAGAGACATGCTTGGTGTCTGAAGGAGGCATCTAATGGCCCTACCCTTTGCTGCCTCGGAGCCCTCACTTACCAGTCCAGCCCATCAAAGGTCTCATTGGAAGAAGCCCTGGCAAGAGGAGAGAAGAGACAAAGTCATCAGTGCTTCCTGGGTTGCTGGGTGGGCACATGGAAGGGGAGATACAGACTGCATTTACTAAGCACATACTAGAAATCAGGCATTGGGCCAGGGCTTTTACTTACATTAATTAACTCATTAAGAGTAGAGGTTAAGAAAACCTCTACTCTTAGAGACTCCTCTACTTACCAGCTATGTGACCTGAGACAAGTCGCTTAACTCTCTACGCCTCCTTCCCCATCAGTACAACAGGGATCAGATTTAAATAATGTATGTAAAAGGCTTAGCACAGTTCCTGCCATATAGTAAGCCTTCCATAAATGTCAGTTACTATAATCTTTACAATGACTCTGTGATTTAGGTGACAGTGTCATTTTACAGATGAGGAAATTGAGGCTCAGAGAAGCTAACTCACCTGTCTAAGGTCACACAGCTAATGAGCAGGGATTCAAACCCAGAAGACACCAGAGGCTTTTTCTACTACAACAAGCCACGGCCACATATCAAAGGAATGGGGTTTTGCAGAGGAAAAGCCAGTATGATGTCCCAGGCAAAGCCCCCAAGCAGGAGTCAGAAGCTTTGGTTCCTAGCCAGAGCCCTGCCACCAAGCAGCTGTATGTCCTATGGGTGGTTAAGATGGTGGATGTGAAAGCACCATGCAAATACAAGAGGGAATTTTTTTTTTTTTTTTTTAATGTCTAGCCTAAAGACACAAGGATTTCCCAGGACTGGGGTTTCCTTGGGGTAACTATTTGGGGTCACATGCTGGGAACTCCTCCATCTCCTCCCTTTCCCCCACAGGGGAGTTGTGGCATTCCAAGAGCACAAGGGGCCTGGGCACCAGAGAGGCTCACAGTGACCCAGCAAGGTCAGGGAAGCTCCTGGGGTATTAAAGGACCTGAGAATAAACTCACAAGCCATGGACGCCAAGCAGTAGGTCATAGTTGTCAAAGATGGTGGCTGGGGGACCCAGCAGAAGCAGCACCAAATAGATGAGCCCCAAGACAAAGACCATGGCCAACTTCCCGATGCTGCTGATGTGCAGGAAGACAGAGCTGGCCAAGAGACTCAGCAGCACGCTCCCGATGAAGTACTGCGGGGGGCAGAGGCAGCACTGGGTGAAGGCAGAGGCCACAGCACCCTTGGGCAGGGAGAGCCCTGCACTCTCCTGCCTGACCTAACCTTTCTGCCACACCCCTCAAACCCCCATATCCTCCACCTTCCATGTCCAGCCCCTACACCACACCAGGGCCCCTGGTTGCTCCTAGTGTGGGAGACTCTGGTGAGTTCCTGGGTCCCCAGCGCCCATCACTAGGTCTGGCACAGAAGGGCCAATGTCTGTGCCAGGACAGCCCCCCCCACCACCGCCTGAGCACTGCTTGAACACCTCAGGGAAGCTGCAGGTGGGCGTGGTGCCCTCACACAGGGGAGCATCCAGGCCCAGAGAGTAATTGAGCTGCTGCAGGTGGCAGGCAGTGATGTCAGCAGGTGTTAAATTCAGCATCCGGGCTGCACAGGTCCGTATAGGGGTGTGATTACAGGTGAACTGCAAAAGTAGAGGGGTGTATCAGGATAGCCAAGGAGGGGAAGGGTTTCTAGGTACCTGGTGAAGCCATGTACCCTGCCCTGGGCTATGCCCAGGTACCTTATACCCCATGGGCCTTAGTACTCACTCAGGGATGACAAGAGGTTGGGAGAACAAGGAGGGAGAACTGGAGTTAACCTTGCCCTATTCTGGGAGGGGGCTCCCTGAGGGCAGAAAATATGTCCTATTCCCCTCTGTACCCCCAGTGTCCAGAACAGTGCTTGGCACAGAGTGGAGGTGGGAGAATTCCCACTGGACCCTTACCATGTTGGCAATGGCAGAAGTAAACACAAGCAGGACGGAAAAGATGCCAACTGCGGTGCTATGTGCCCGTGAGCGAACGATGCTGCGGGACAGACGTTGCAGGGCCTTAGGGAACAGCTAGAGGAATCAAGAGATGAAGAGTTGAAGGTTGTATCAGCCAAGGAGGAAGGCCAACCAGGGATGGGGCCCAGTGGAACAGGCATGGCCTTCTCCTCCCTCTCCCCATGTGACCTCCTCCCTGTCTGGAGTCCAGCCTGCCCTCCCAACAGCCTCAGAAGTCCCCCTACGTACAGAACCACAGGAGTACACGGCACAGGTCAGCACGGTGACCAGCAGCAGCAGGAAGATGCTGGCATAGATCCCAAGCATCAGGATGGAGCTGGGGCAGAACAGGGCCAGAAAAATCATTTAATTCTGGAAGATCTGGGTATTCTTGTCCCACCCTCTGGAACAAGCAGGGATGCAGGCTCCAGGAATTGTGGGCCCGTGTGGGTATGTAGGAAGCTTCTGGGAAGCGGTGGAGAAGAGAGAAGCTAAGAGAGGAAGGGCAGGACTCTCACTGTGGGAAGATGAGAAGCTGGATGAAGCAGATGAAGCAGAAGACCAACAGGGCACAGGCAACGTAGGCTCCGAAGCGGGGATCCACCTTCCGGGAGTACTGAAGGAGAGGAGGCTGAGCTGGGTGCTGGGCCCTCCCTAAGGAAGGCAGGGACAGCAAGGACAGGGCACTACTAGGCGTCTCAACAGGGAGGAGATGCAGTTGGCCCAACTGACGAAATCCCCACCCTGCTCTGTGGTCCCTTCTCCATCCCCCAGAAACACCTGTGCCCTCACCTGTGCTCAGCCTTCCCTGCCGCGACCTGCCCCTCCCCCAGCCCTTGTCCTTCTGCCCTGTATCCCTGAAACCTTCTTCTCAAGATCCTCTCTCTGGAAGGTGAGCAGAAACCGGCGCACATGGTCCTTCCGCAGCTGATCAATGCTGCGGGCATCGATGGCACGGCTCAGGAACTCATCCACCTCATCCTCAGGGTTCAGGGCATCTTGGGTGCCCCGGCTGAGGGCAGGAGACATGGCTTCACCAGATGCATGGGCATGGCCAAGTGAGAAACAATGAAAGGAAAGGTATGGGCAGCACCCAAGGGAGGGAGGGAGAGCTGGGGTGTGGCTCCTGCTCACATACAACACACCTAAAGTCAGGGAAAAGGAGGATTTTGGCTCCCCCCAGCCCCATCCCAGGGTGCAAGTACCTTCTCCCTCAATAACCTGACTTACTTGTCTTTGCTGGAATCATCAATGCCCTGGAGAAAGGGACAGAGTGTGGAGTGAGGTGAAAGGCCAACAACCTTCATCTCTGCAGCCCCTTCTCCCACCCCAACACTGTGCTGAGGGTGTCCCCACCATATCTTCTGGGGGTACTGGGACCCCTGAGATGAAATCTTCCCACTGCCCCAATACCAGAAAGCATACATGGAAATGACAGTCACAAGAAGAAAGGACAGGGTCAGGGACACTGAGGGAGCCAAGAAAAAGAGGCCCCAGGTCTGGTGCTGAGGGCCCCTCACCATCTGGCGGAAGGCCTTGGAGTCCTTGGTCCGGGAGAAGGCACGATCAGGCACCCAGCGCGGCATCAGCCCTTCCATGGAGTTGGCCCGAGTCCGCTGCAGCTTGGCCAGCATGGCCTTCTCCTCTTTCTGTGTGGGCAGCATGGGTATAGGCTCAGAAGAGGGGTACAGGCTCAGAAGAGGGGCCCAGAGGAGGCCTTGGCCTGCTCCTCCCCATTTGTCCCTCTTCCTGCTCCCCTGCCCCCAGCCCTGCCCCGGCCCTGACCCGTTTCTGGCTGGCGCCCAGGATGAGGAAAGTCTCAATGTGCTGCTCCTTGAGGTATGCGTTGCGCTCGCCACCACGGCCTGGCTCCACCTCGTAGTCCCCATTCAGGTACTGCAGTGTTGCCCGAGTGATGTGGATGCGGCTGTACGTGGCCAAGAGGGTGAGACCCTGGCTCTCCCACCTTGCTCCCATCCCCCACCACCTGGGCCCCCCTACTCACCCAGCCCGGCCTCCTGCCTCCATGTGGTTGGCCAGGGTCACATCATTGGACCACACATCGAACTGCCATTTCCGCAAGCCAAGGACGCCGCAGTGCACGCGCCCGCTGTGGATGCCCACGCGCATGTTCACATTCACACCTGTCACCTCACGTACCAGCCTGGGAGGATGCAGCCCCAGATCAGCTCCTGGCAGTCTTCTCCTCCCCCAGCCCACAGCCCAGGCCCTTCACTCCCCTCAGGGCCCAGTGGGCAAGGACAGACCCAGATGCAGGGGACAGGAGCACAGCCTTGGTTGGACATGAGCAGAAGGCTGCATGGGGCTCAAGGACAAATGTTAGGGCTATGTTCACCAGCAGGGGCCCAGCAGCATCTTGTGGAACTGAGCTAGGAGAAGAGGAATCACTGTTATCCCCTCTGGCCTGCACAGATGGCATTCCCTCTAGCCCAACTCCCCTACTGCACAGGCTGTCCCCGCCCCATCTCAGCTGGCTGGGAGTCTAAGGGTCCGCATGGGTCTTTGCACAGGTTGGAGAAAGATTCCCCTTCCCAGTGACAGAAAGACTTCAAAGACAGAAAAACAGCCAAAACTGAGGAAATCTCCTGAGGTCTCAACAAAAAGTAGGAGCAGTCTGGGGAACCCGTAATTCCAGGAAGCCTGGGAATGGGGCACTGCTTACGAGATGGCCTCGATCATGTCTACCCCCATCTCCACACAGCAGTGGGCATGGTCGGCCCGGGCCTCCGGCAGCCCTGACACACAGTAGTAACAGTCCCCCAAGATCTTGATCCTCAGGCAGTGATTCTCCTAAATGGGAAAGAGTTGGAGGGAAGGGTAACCTTTACTCTCTTGCCCACCCAGCCTGCATGGCCCACCACCCTCGACGCACACTCTATCTGCTCCCAAATCCCCAGCTGCTGCCAGCAAAGCTATGCTCTCACCACGGTCAACACCCAGGCCCAATCCCAAGGCCCAGCACCCTCACCGCAGCCAGCTTGTCAAACCGGGCAAAGAGCTCATTCAGGGTCATGACCAGCTCCTGTGCAGTGCACTGGGATGCCAGGCTGGTGAAGCCCTCAATGTCTGCAAACAGGATGCTGTAGATGACAGCAGAGAATGAACAGACCACATAGCCCTCAAAGACTTCCAGACCCCCCGCCCTGCTTGGCACCCTCCTACCCTCACCTTACCTGACATTGTCATGCTTCTGTATGTAGATTTTGTGGAACATCATGTCTTCTTTTTTTGTGTTGATGTCTTCTTTCATCTCCATGGCAACATGCTGGGGCAACACCGACAGCAGCAGCCGCTCCTAGCCCAGTGGTTCCAATAGGCATCACTATACTCTTGGCCTCACATTTCAATCCCTCCTGGTCTCTCTACATCACCAGAGTCCTCCCAGACTTCTCTGAAGACCTTCCCTTCTGGACTGTGGCCTGACCTTCCCCCGTCAGAGCCCCCTCTGACCACCCTCCATTAAGCCCCCAGATGTGCTCCTGTCCACGCCCTCCTTCCCTTGGACCGGACAAAACCCCAGTATCATAGGGCCTCTGTGACACACAACCCAGGGGAACCATCACACTGTGCTCCACGGAACCGGACAAGGCAGCAAATCCAATCTGCAAGTTATGTGGGGGTGAGGTGGGGGCAGGCCCTGGCCAGGGGAGCAGTCCCACCTGCTGCCGATTCTCATGCTGCAGGTGGAGCCGGGCCTGGATGTAACCGCGGGTCTCCTGAAAGGCCTGGCGCTGAGACACCTCTGCTGGATAGTGTGTGCAGATGCCAATGACGTTGGTGCAGAGGAACAGCAGCACATTGGCACCGAGCTGCAGGAGGTGGTAGAGGCAGATAGTGACCATCTCCTCTGCCTACCTCCCCAAATACACACACACACATTCACACAACTTGCTAGGTTCTCTGAGGAAGGAAGCCAGGGTCCTGCACCCTCTCTGTCCCCAAGCTACTGCCACCCCTGCAATATCTCTCTCGCATGACCCACAGGACCCCAGATCCCAGCCAACTGCCTGAATCCTCCATGACTAGAAATGAGATCTTTTCACAGCTTCTGGAAGCAGAAGACCAACTAGGGCCAGGTAAGTCATGGGGCCCAGCTCCAGCACCCTGTATCTCCTGCTCCTCAAACACCCCACACGAAAGACAAATGCTGCTCCTTTTGCAGGTGCTCCTCCTTAAGGACAGCACCCAGGAGACCTGAGCTCTACATCCTCCTGTGAGTGACCCAGGACAAGTCACCTCCTCTCTCTTGGGTTTGCTCATCTATAACCCAAAGAGGAAGAAGAAGATCATCTCTAAAGCCTCTCCCTGACTTGACATAACTTAGTAACAATAATCACCATTGTCATTATTATTATGGTAGCTAGTTCGTTGGCTGCCTACCATGTGCCAGGATTCTGTAGGTGCCTTCTATATACTGACTAACATTTCTTTTTTTTTTTTTTTTTTTTTTTGACAGAGCCTTGCTCTGTCACCCAGACTGGAGTGCAGTGGCCTGATCTCGGCTCACTGCAACCTCCGCCTCCCAGTTCAAGCGATTCTCCTGCCTCAGGAATAGCTGGGATTACAGCCAACTGCCACCATGACCGGCTAATTTTTGTATATTTTTTTAGTAGAGAAGGGGTTTCACCATGTTGGTCAGGCTGGTCTTGAACTCCTGACCTCAAGTGATCCACCCGCCTCGGCCTCCCAAAGTGCTTATGGGTGTGGATTACAGGCGTCATCGACCGCGCCTGGCCCCTAACACATTTCTTAAAACTCTATGAAATAGGTAACAATATCCCATTTTAAAGGTAAGGGACTCAGGCACAGAGAAGCCAAGTAACTTCCCCAAGATCACACAGCTGTTAGTGGCCAGTGTGAGACTTGAACCCAGGACAATCAGACTCCAAATTCTGTGTCCTAATCCTACTATCTATCTAGTGCATTCCACACTGTGTAGTACATTCCAGGTTTCCAAGATTCCTACTCACTCTACTGAGTCAAGCTCTCAAGCCCAACCTCAGAGCCCCGGCTTGAGAGTCGTCAATTCTACTGATACAAAGGATGTCCTCTAACTGGAGATGGGGTCCACCATGACTGGCCACCCCTCAAGGTATAACTCCCTCTGACACTCGGCCCTGCCAGGCCCTAGGCCTAGGGCCTCCACCCTAGGAATGTTCAGTCCCCAATCATCATCAGTGGCATTGGCTACAAAGCAAGTCTAAGGGAAGCTGGCCTCAGTGTTTTTGGAAACTCAGGAATTAACCTGGAGCTTGTGGCTCCACCCCAGAGTTGGATGGGGCCGGGCTCTGGTTTAAGGAGAAGGGAGGGAAACAGCAGAAGCACTTCCTGGAAGCCAGAGGTTCTGGGCTCTGCCTTGAACTAGAACTAGTCCTGCAAAATTGGGCAGGTCACTTAATCTTTAGGACCTCAGTTTCCTCTTGGGTAAAACTGAGGGGGAGGCCTGGCTCACCCCTAGCCATTTCCAGCGCCAGCCTCTGGGATGGGCCTCCTAGCTTCCCTTCCCAGTCCAGCTCACAGGCCCAGGATCAACTAGGCTGAGCTCCCCCTCCCAGCAGCAGGGGTGAAGAGAGGGGCACACTATCTCCCTTGGGGGTTTCTAAGAATAGCCCCCAGTGGGGGAGAAGGGAAGGGGGGCAAACCAGGCAACTTCCCTTCCTGGCCCCAGGAGCCCAAGAGGAAAATGTGAGTCACGGTGGAGGGAAGGGGAAGGGGGACGAGACTGAAATAACTCTGTACACACACGTCCCTATCTGACTGTGAGAAAAAATGGATGCCAGGGGACCGGAGGAGACTCCACACTGGGCCTGGGTCACTGGGCGACACTGTTCGATGTGTCTAAGTGAGTGGGTTGGTGGGGACACAGCCTCCTTCCTGTGACTGTGAGCAGGGTGGATCTGGGAAGGGGCTGCCCAAGTAGACGAGGAAGGAGGCCACAAACCCCACCCATCTAGAAACCCTCAGACCCAAACGGGCACAGGGAATGTTTCTCGGCCCAGAGGAAGTTGTAAGGGCAGCCCTGACCCCAAGGACTGGCACAGGGACAGCAGTGACTTTCGCTACTGCCCCAAGAATGTGCCTGTCGAGACCCACTAGGTGAGGCTGTAGCCACACACTCCTGGGGAGATGGGCACAGCCCTGGCCTCCCTGGGACTGCACCTCCCCAGTCAGGCACTGGGCCTGACTCTGGGCACCATGCCAGTTGAGAGTAGGGAAGAGATGCCCACCCAGCACCATGCCTGGCCAGAGAGGAAGGGGGAAAGGAGACACCACCTCTAAGCGCCTTCCCCAGGAGGACAATCCAGCCATAAAGCCCTGGTTGAGAGCCAGCCTGGAAGAGAAGCTCTGGGGCGGAAGAACCTGGCCCTTTAAGATGTCCGACGGTGCCCTAAGGGCACGTGCTCCACAAACAAACAGGCTATAAGGTTACTTTTAAAAAGGTACATTCTGGCATGTGTTCTGGCATTCTGGCCATGTGAGGTGGCTCACTCCTGTAATCCCAGCGCTTTGGGAGGCCAAGGAGGGCGGATCACGAGGTCAAGAGATCGAGACCATCCTGGCCAACATGGTGAAACCTGTCTCTACTAAAAATACAAAAATTAGCTGGGTGTGATGGCGTGCTCCTGTAGTCCCAGCTACTCGGGAGGCTGAGGCAGGAGAATTGCTTGAACCCAGGAGGTGGAGGCTGAAGTAAGCTGAGATCGCACCACTGCCCCACTCCAGCCTAATGACAGAGCAAGACTCTGTCTCAAAAACAAAACACACAAAAAACAGGTACGTTCTGTTCTGTAGCACAGGCTGGGTGGAGAAGGGCATCATGCCAGAGAACCTAGCTTCTCACCCTGGGTTCCCCAGGCAACTTCCTCTCTGTGGGTGAGGCAGGGTGGGCAACAGGCCACAAGCCCTCAAAACCTTGAGTAAGATAGCACTCTCTAGATGGGGTCCAGTGGAGGACCCGGGTGGTGTGCTGATGGCGGGGCTGTGCCTACAGCAGCTCCTGAAGGACCTGGCCTCTGCTCCCTGGGCGGGGGGTAACATGAGATGGCAGATCCACAAACTAACATCTCTCTTAAAGAGACTTCCCAGAAACCCCTTCGCTGGGTACCATGCCTTCCAGCACTCCCCACACCTCCCTGCCCCCAGGTGTGAACACTGCCCAGTCGGGTTCTACTCCACTCTAGGAAAGGGTGGGGCCCCAACAGCAACATGAGCTAGATGCTATTTTTATCCCAGCTTTGCAGACTGGGAAACTAAGGCTGGGAGAGGTGAGGCTAGTTGTCTAAGATCCCACAGAGAAGAATACAGCCCATTGGATAAGCAGGTCAGCCTACAGCCAGTCCACACGGAGCCATGGAGTCCCACCTCACACACACTTGGAGCCTGGAGGCGGCAACAGGCATGGACTGAGAACCTCAAGGAAAGGCGGCCAGGCCCCTGGTGCCCAGCATGGGGAAGGTGGGATACAATCAGACTTAATGTTCCTCTCTTCAACAGTCCAACCCCATTCAAACTACATCCAGCCCAGAGAGAACTGACCCCAGCTCTTCACCTTCCCTGTCCTCCCAGAAGTGGCCTTGGTCCAGGAAAAGAGGGGACTCCTCCCTTGCTGACAACATCCAAAACCTGCTCTATACCTCCAGATCACCACCTAGAGCTGCTCTCCATGGATGGCACCAGCACCTGATCCTCCGGTGTCACCTTGCTAACAGAGATGCTAAAGCCTGGACACAGCCTGCACTGCCTTTTCAGCCCTACCACGGCCCTGGGGCTATATACCACACCCCTGCCTCCAGCCCCACATTCTGTCTCTTCAGACCACTATTTCAGACGGCTAAAGAGCCAGAGACTGGGGCCCATGGTGACAGAGTTCAGGCTTGGGTCCTGGGGCCCTCCCTCCCCTCAGCAGTGCCTTCTACCCCAGATCCCACGTGGAGGTGGACCCCTGAGCCCTGGCCTCCCACCTCCTGCTCCTCTTCCCAGATACAGCCAGACATCCCTGCACCCAGCTTCCACCCATGACTCACCCGCCCTTCCTCACTAAGCCCCCACCTGCTTATGAGGTGAGAAATTCCCCACTTGCTGCCCTCCATCCCTACCTCCCTGGCCACCTACCTGCTTCCAGAGGAAGGCATCACCACGGTTAAGTTGCCAGGCCAAGATCAAATGCAGGGCGGAGAGGCCCAGGCCGCTGAGGACCGCAGCCCGCATGCGGATGGGGAGGAGCGTGTAGGCGATGTAGACGAAGAACACAGGGCACCAGAGGCCCGCAGAGGGGCTTCGTGGGTCTGCTGCGAGGGCACTCCCGACCTGCACTGCCGCCAGGATGCCCAGCACCACGTAGCTCACCACCCACATGGAGTCCTGGCGGAAGCTATGCCGGTTACACACCACCATGAGCCCCAGGAACAGGGCAGCGGCGCAGGCCAGCAGGGCCACATAGGCAGGCTGAGGGCGGGTGGGCGCCGCGTGGAAAGCCAGCAGCACCGCCGTGAGCAGCACCAGCACCGCCATCAGCAGCGTCAGGCTGCTCTGGTTCATCTGGAAGAAGTACCGCTGGTACAGGCGCTCCAGCTTGGCCGAACGGAACTGCTTCGACTGGAACACCTGCACCAGACGGCGCCAGCAGGATCGCCCACTCCTGGGCACCGCGTCGGGCGCCACCTCAGCTGTCCCGCCCACTGTCGTTGTCACCTCTGTGTCCTCGAAGCCCAGGGCCACTGCCCGCAGCCCCAACTCCTTGCCCTTGCCCGGGCCGCCCCTCCGGATGAAGGCGTCATCCTGCCAGGGGCACCGAGGGGGGCCCGCAGGGGTGGGGCTGGGTGGCTCTGCATCCCGGAGGCAGCTCATATAGCGGGGCGTGCAGAAGCCACCTGCCCGAGTGCCACAGCGCCGTGAACGCTTCTGCCCATTGCGTTCACCCCAGGCTGTTTTCCGTTCATCCACTTTAGGGACCAGGAGGCCACTAAACCATGACATGTTGCTGGTAGGGAAGGAAGGAGATAGTATTAGAGACCATCCAATGGGAGCGGTATTAATACCACCGTCACAGCCACTGCCACCACTAGTAGCTCATTACCTAAGCACTTCCCACTGACAAGCTATGAGTTTCATTGTCATACAATTACTTGGACGTAGGCAACAAGGGTATCCCCATTCAACATGTGAGAAATCGAGACACAGTGAGGAAAAGAAACTTTTCCAAGGCCAGGCACAGTGGCTTACACCTGTAATCCCAGCACTTTGTGAGGCCGAGACAGGAGGATGGCTTAAGGCCAGGAATGTGAGAGCAACCCGGGCAATACAGCAAGACCTTGCCTCTATTAAAACTTTAAAAAATTAGCCTGGGCCAGGCACGGTGGCTCACATCTGTAATCCCAGCACTTTGGAAGGCCCTGGCAAGTGGATCTCAAGGTCAGGAGTTCAAGACCAGCCTGGCCAAGATTGTGAAACCTCGTCTCTACTAAAAGTACAAAAATTAGCCAGGCGCAGTGGCGGGCGCCTGTAATCCCAGCAACTCGGGAGCTAAGGCAGGAGAATTGCTTGAACCCGGGTGGCAGAGGTTGCAGTGAGCTGAGATCGCGCCGCTGCACTCCAGCCTGGGTGACAGAGTGAGACTCCATCTCAAAGAATAAATAAATAAAAATTAGCCTGGTGTGGTGGTGTACACTTACAGACCAGGCCATTCAGGAGGCTAAGGCGGGAGGATTGCTTGGGCCCAGGCAGTGGAGGCTGCAGTAAGCCAGGATTGTGCACCACTGAACTCTAGCCTGGGCAACAGCCATAGTCTGGAAAAAAAAAAAAAAAATGGAAGGAAGGAAGGAAAGAAAAAAGGAGGGAGGGAGGGAGGGAGAGAGGGAAAGAAGGAGGGAAGGGAGGGAAAGAAAAGAAAAGAAGAAAGACTTGCCCAAAGATCCAGCAGCCACATAAGTGAGAGAACCAAGATTCTAAACCAGATTTGTCTGACCCCAAAGCCAGTATACTTGAAAATTTCCCTAAAAGGCACTGATGTGTTGGTGGTCACAAACTCAAGTGCCCAAGTCAATGAGTGATGCAGCTTCTGCTTCAGAACTAGGAGGAAAAGAGTTCATACCCTGTGCACTGGGCAAGCACCACCCAGCAGCTGTAGACTGTTGCCAGTGGGTCCCGATCTGATTTTTCTCAACAGAAGCAGAAGAAAAAATATGCTGGTTTTTTGTTTTGTTTTGTTTTGTTTTTGAGACGGAGTCTCGCTCTGTCGTACAGGCTGGAGTGCAGTGGTCGGATCTCGGCTCACTGCAAGCTCCGCCTCCTGGGTTCACACCATTCTCCTGCCTCAGCCTCCGGAGTAGCTGGGACTACAGGCACCCGTCACCACGCCCGGCTAATTTTTTCTATTTTTTGTAGAGACGGGGTTTCACCATGTTTGCCAGGATGGTCTTGATCTCCTGACCTCGTGAACCAGCTAACAGTGATAATCCTAAGGCTCTTCAGCTTCCTCATGGCACCACAGTCATATGAACCTCTTTGCTCTTTCCCAACACACCCCGCACAGGCCAGCCTGGGACCTCAGTGCCTGCTGTTCCCTCTGTCTGGAACAAGAGCTCCTCCAGGTCACATCCCAAATGTCCCCTTATCAGTGAGGCTCTCTCTGACCACTCTATTAAAATAGCAACCCCCTTTCCTGGAGCTCTCTATCTTTTTCCCAGCTTTATGCTTTTTCTCCATAACTCTAATCAGCAACTGCCATTCTATATATTTTTCTTATGTGTTCATTTTCTGTCTCTCCTGACTGGAATGTCAGCTCTATGAAGGCAAGGATTTTGACCTGCTGTTCTCACTGCCATATCCACAACCCTTAGAAGGACCTAAACAAGTGTTTATTGAGGCTGGATGTGGTGGCTCACACCTGTAATCCTAGCATTTTGGGAGGCTGAGGCGAGTGGATCACCTGAGGTCAGGAGTTCCAGAGCAGCCTGATCAACATGGTGAAAACCCATCTCTACTAAAAATACAAAATTAGCCAGGAGTGGTGGCGGGCGCCTGTAATCCCAACTACTCGGGAGGCTGAGGTGAAAGAATTGCTTGAATCTGGGAGGTGGCAGATGCAGTGAGCTAAGATCACACCACTGCACTCCAGCTTGGGCAATAAGAGCGAAACTCCATCTCAAAAAATAAAATAATATTAAATGTTCATTGAGTAGATGGATGACTAGATGGATGGATGAATGATATTCCATGCACTTTCTCCAAGCTTTAAACTGTTCAAGATCTTTTCACATCCCTAATTCCATCTGATCTTCACCAAAACCCTGAGAAACTAGTCCTGTGGCCCCCTGGGGCACAAGACAGATTTGAAAGGAAAAATATATATAAACAAAAACTGATGTCCATGGCAGTTTTATATGGCTGGCCCAAGTTATAGAGATCATGGTAACCAAATCAGTCCCAGATCCCACATTTCCTGGAGGAAATGTCATTAACTGAGGTGGGAGGACTCCATGATGATACCTTTAGTGTGACTCCTGGCTGAGCCCAGGTCAGAATAAGATGAGGCTGAAAGCACTGTCATCCACGCATGCCTGTGTCCTCACCAGGGCCACACTCCTCTATGCTCACACAGTACCCTGAGGGGTCCCTTGTACTCAAGCCTGCTGAGCTAGCAGCACTGACATTTGTACTCAGTAGGGGACAGGATGGAGGAATACCCAGCACTTGCCACAGGTGGCCACAGAATGAGAGCTCAAGCCAGATGCGCAGCACTCAAAGCAGACACCCAGGGACCCACAAGCAGAAGGCAGGCTGGGGAATTCTCCGCATACCCCAAAACTCCCATCCCTGGGTCACCCTCAGCCAAGTTCTGTCGGCATCCCTTCTCCTATATCCCACAGCAGTATGTCCTTCGACCTCCTTTTGTTTTTTTGTTTAAGATGGAGTCTCACCCTGCCCCACCCAGGCTGGAGTACAGTGGCACAATCTTGGCTCACTGCAACCTCTGACTCCCGGGTTCAAGCAATTCTCCTGCCTCAGCCTCCCCAGTAGCTGAGATTACAGGCACCTGCCACCACGCCCGGCTAATTTTTGTATTTTCAGTAGAGATAGGGTTTCACCATGTTGGCCAGGCTGGTCTCGAACTCCTAACCTCAGGTGATCCGCCTGCCTTGGCCTCCCAAAGTGCTGGGATTACAGGCATGAGTCACCATGCCTGGCCCCTTCAACCTCTTAACATCACCAACAGCACCATCTGGAAGGACAGATCAGGAATACAAGACTTTTGGTCAGGCTGGCATTTGGAAAAGGTCACCAAAGAAAGCCTGGCTCTTCAAAATACTTCATTAGAAGCATGATCTTTGGCATGAGACCAGGTTCCAAACCTTAGCGTGATTATTTACTAGCCGCACTGCCTTGGGCAAGTTATTTAACCTCTCTGTGTCAGTACCTTCATCTGTAAAATGGAAATAATAATTGTCCTCTGGAAAGAATCTAATAATGCCTGTCATGAAGTACACACTTGAAAAATATTAGTTCTTCTCCTCACTCTACAACACTTTAAACCCAAATCTCTGTCAGCGTCAAGAGATGGAAAGATGAGAAAATCATGAGCAAGAACACACGTCTTTCTAGCCAGTCAGATGCCTGGTTCTATCAGTCCCTATGTCCTTGGCTGTTAGTCCCCAGAGCTGCTGGAGACAGAGCCCAGAGTGAGCAGGTTTCCCACCACCATCCAGCACCCACAACATTTTGCTTCAGCCTCCCCTCATTCACCAGTCCCCTTCCCTGTTCTTATCTCCCCCCACACAACCCCCCACCCCCACCACTGGCCCAGACCTCTTTCCAAAGGACTAGTTTCTGGCCAGGTTCCCAGCCCCCTGGAAACACATCCTAGCATCTGGCTCATACCCACAGAGAAAGGGGCAGACACTATCCAGGAGAATGCATGACCCTCCCAGGAACACTCTGACTCCCTAAGGGGATAGCTTCAGAGCTGTGTAATTGTCCAACCAACTGCAACCATCCCACTCTGGGCTCCACTCCAGGCACTGCCCATCCCTGAGAACTTGCCCGCCTCCCAGCATTTCTGGCACCCCAAGCCAGACTAGTATGGCAGGGAACAGGGGAGAGCACTGTTCCAAGCCACAAACTCTATATGGTCCCCCAACCCACTTTGTCCAGCAACCCATCACTATGAGAGCTCTGGGAGCACAGACCACCTCCCTCCTCCCCGGAGTCAGGCTCCTAAGCCTTGTGCCTCTGACCTCCTCCTTCCCTGAGTGTTGGTCCATTTGCTCTCTCACAGATCTGCTGCTCTTCACACCACCGGCTCCCACAGCCAGAGCCATGTCCCATTCAGCCTGGCAGGCCCAGGCTCAGTCCCAGACCTCAAGTCCCTCCCAAACCCTGATCAGGCTGAGACCAGAGTTTGGAACCCGCCAAGGCCAAGGCCCAGCCCTAAGGATGGCTCTGCCTACTGCCTTGCCAAGCCTTCCTGGCCACCTCTTGTCTATCCCATCCCCAGGGCCCATCTGCCCCTGCCCTCCTTGGCAAAAGGAGGCTCCAGGGGATTTAACACGACTTCAGAAAGTTCATGGCAAGAGGCACTGCCCAGGCAGGGCCCAGCAGTGCCAGCACCGCCCACCATACTGGGACATGGGCCTCACTTCTTCAATTCTGGGCCTTTCCAGATGTAGAGGAGACTACCCAGGGCCTGTATCTGTTGGTCCAGTGCCCGCTGCCGCCTTCTCCCATCCCCAGTCCTCGCTCTTCCTAAAGATTACAGAGGGCTCCCACATCAAGCCTTACTGTGCAACCCCCACCAAGTCCCTCCAGCTCACAGGGGTAGTCTGGTAAGGGGAGGATATGGGCAAAGAGGCTCCCACGCCTGATTCCACCTCTAGCCTTTCAGTCGAGCCCAAGAGTCTGCTTTGAATAAGTCAGCTCCCCTGCCCACCCTGCGGCAGGCCTTGGGGGATGTGGGGAGCCGAACCCACCCCTTTCATTCCCAAGGTTTGGGGTGAGGCGAAGGAGAGGGGCTCCCGCAGACAGAGGGCATCCCTGCCTCTGCCCAGGCCGGTTCCTCTCCCCTAAATGGAATCTCTCCCAAACTCAGAGACTCACCCCACAGCCCCGCAGCAAAAAACTCAGGCCAGCCCCTCCCCCAGTACGTGCCAGGTCCTCCTGGCCTCCGGGCAAGCCTGGAACTCGCCCCGTGGAGGGAGGCCGGCAGCGGGCGACGCGGGTGGAGAGCGCCGGACCTAGGAGACCTCGATCCCACTGCCTCCATGACTTCCCTTTGCCAACCCCAACTCCCTCGGGCAACCCGCCAAACACTGCCGAGACGACCCGTCCCAGGCTTCGGCGCCCCCACCCACAAACTCCTATTGGGAGCCGCTCGGGAGCGTTCCAACCCTGGAGCCCCGGGAGCCCGAGCGGTCACTTCCCCAGCCCTCCGCGCGCTCACCTGCCGGCCAGTCTCCGCGCCTGCCCCGGGCCCCCGCCCCGCCGCCCCCGCGGGCTCCGGCCGGCCGGCCGGCCGTCCCGCGGTCCTTCTCCGAGCCCGCGCGTCCTGGCCGTCCCGCCCGCCGTCCGCCGTCCGCCCGGCCCTCGCCCCCTCCCGAGCTGTCCAGCGCAGCCGCCCTCTACCCCGGATCCAGAAGTCCCCTCCCCGCT